ACTTAAACCTGTCCAACACATTATCAATAAACTACAGCCTATACTGGAACAGGATACTAAACTCCAAGAGGCTCTGGGATTCTTACCAACAACCACAGGACATGCCACACTAATACCAATCCTGGTACCTTCCCTTGCAACAAACCCTGTTGCCAGCTTTGTCCACATATTCACTCTGCTGATACCATTATTGGACCTAACCAAGTGAGTTATAAGATCAAGAACACATATTCCTGCGCATCCAGAAATATAATTTATGCTATCATTTATCTTCCCCTCCCCCCCATCTCCTTTCTGTTCTGAAATTTGATTTGTCTTTTTCATATGTGTTAATTTTTTAATTGTATCCTTTGGTATATATGGTTGTGACAATTTTCTTCCACTATTTGATCTGAGGAAGTGGGTCTGGCCCACAAAAGCTCATCACCTAATAAACCATCTTGTTAGTCTTTAAAGTGCTACATAGTCCTGTTTTCTGTTTCAGCTACACCAGACTAACATGGCTTCATTTCTATCACATTTATTAGGGCATTAGAGCATAGACTTTTGTGAGCTACAATTCACTTCTTCAGATGCTGAAGAGAAAAGGGGAAAAAAAGACAAAAGAGAGGTGGAAAAAAAGAGATGGATACAGGATACTAATACAGATGTCACATTCACATTTCTGTATCCTTTTTTTCTCCTTTCTTTCTTTTCTTTAAAGTGCCACTGGACTTCTTATTTATATTAATTGTTAATATTCAATCAAGCCATATTCCATTTCTAATCATAAGGCTACTAATGCCACCATTTGCAGCATTATAAATGTGTTCTAAATTGGTGGAACAAATAGATAATATTAATTAAGCATGTCAGTTCACTCCAGCCTATTAAATAGACCAATTGAACTAATTTTTTTAAACAGCTTTCAGTTTACATTTAATGATACCTCCTTTTTTAAAGTGTAAAAACTGCATATAATTGGTCTCTGAGGCAGACCTAAAGGTTGATGCATCTACAGCAGTTCTGCGAATATCACATTTACAGGTTACTATTAGCTGCAGTTGTAAGGCTTGTGAAGCTTCAAAGGAATAATGCAATGACTTCATATGTTACAGAAATGTCAGCTTGTTAATTTAGTTTGGAAAATGAGTACAATGGATTTTAAAGCAAAGAAACTTTGCCGAAGTTCTATTTTGTTTCAGATGATAAAAAAACCTGAGATCTCTTCAATTAAGTCTATGTGGAGCTATTTGCACACATTACATCGTAGGCATCATTGTAATTGATCGGTCCCTTGAACCACCTTGTCCAATATCTTGCTCCAGTAGGAAGGTCATAGCCCCACCATTAGCACCAAGCAAACCTGTGCAATTTCTTTCTGCCCCCACTACGTGATGGCAGATGCCCTGAAATATGATATCTTGTATTATCCTTTTAACTAGGCCATTACACATTACTAACATCTGCAATATTTTTATTTACTCACAGCATGTCTGAAAATATCAGTTGCATAATATGCTAAATAGGGGACTCTACATTGGTGTGTTGGCAAAGAGTATATAGTAGAAGATTTCAAATATAGAATTTACTGTATTTTAACCATCTCAGGGTACGTCTACACTAGCCCCCTAGATCAATCTAGGGAGGCTAATGAGGGCGACCAGAATTGCAAATATTTAAATATCCACGCTTGATTTGCATGTTCCCGGCCAGTCGCCATTCTATACATTGACTAGCCCGAAGTAACTGCCCGCGTCTACACGCAGCAGTGAAACAGGAGTCCGGAATAAAGCCCTAAATCGAATTAGGTGGTATCCTCATGGAATGAAAAGTGTAGGTTTAATTAAAGCCAATTAATCTCTTTCCTTTGGAGATTATTGACACTTTGGTGTCAGTTGCTGGACTCTTAGGGCAATTCACTCAAGCAGTAGGAGGATACAAGGGGTAGGTGAAAAAGGGGTGGCCAGAGGCTGAGCCTGGGCTGAAGAGGCAAGACTGTGTGGACTCTTCAGGAGCTTCAGGGGGTAGCCGAGTTAGTCTGTTACAGAAAAAACCAACAAATGGTCTGGTAGCACTTTATTGACTAACGAAACATGTAGATGGTATCATGAGCTTTCGTGGGCACAGCTCACATCTTCAGATGACCGGAGTTATGAGTTGGGGATATGAAAACTCGAAATAAAGAGGCGAGGGGGAGGGAGGACAGAAAAAAAATAGAAGAGTGGGAGATAGAGCATCTCCAGAGTATTTGGAGAATGGGTACTTAAACCTAAGCAGATAAAAATCAAAGTCAATAGATAGATTCCTTCCTGTTTTAGGAATCTATCTATTGACTTTGATTTTTATCTGCTTAGGTTTAAGTACCCATTCTCCAAATACTCTGGAGATGCTCTATCTCCCACTCCCGTCCCTTTTTCTTTCTCTTCCCCCTCACCTTCCCCTCTCTTATTTATTTCAAGTTTTCATATCCCCAACTCATAACTCGGGTCATCTGAAGAAGTGGGCCATGCTCACGAAAGCTCATAATACCATCTACATGTTTCGTTAGTCTATAAAGTGCTACCAGACCATTTGTTGGGGTTTTTTTTGTGTGGACTCTGCCTCTTGCTGTGGGACTGTAGAATGCTGTTATAGTTTGCAAGGGAAAAAATATCTACACGGTGAAAGAGGAACAACCTGGTGTTTATCTATGACTGTAATACCACAAGAACTGGCCAGGGAGTGGTACATTGCTTAGTGATAGAGGACCTCTGTGACAGTGTTACTGTACAACATAAAGTGGGCTAATTTTTCTGTCAGAAAATTATATATTATATTAAGCATTGAGAAATAAGCTGAATTCATAGGCACTAGTTTTTTAAACGGATTCAGCTGAAATTGTACTGATTCTCACTTTTATCATGGGGGAAGGAGGGGTGAACTATCTCTGGAAGTGTTTCTTTCTTTGTGAGTTAGTAATATATTTGGGAGATGGAAAAAAAGGCCACTTTGAGATAAGGATATATGAGCTTGACTGTCCCTAATGTCTATGTCCTGCTCTGTGTCAGCAACTAGGGGCCTTAGGGTTAGGACTCCTGGAATTTGGCCAACTCCAGCATGAATTAAAACCACTGGATGCTCTCACTTACGCCGCTGCTGGAAGGTCCCCAATGTTTCAGGACTATTGAAAAATTTGCTTGAAAGTCACAAAAATGTGTGACTTCCATGGGAATGTTAATAATAGTCCAGAATAAGAAAATTCATTAAACCATCCTCATTTTTATTAACTCCAGTCCATGCTGCAATCTCAGCAGCAGCAGTGGAACCTTTCAGTTTCCTAATCATTTGAAGGGGCCTGGGGCTCCCTGCTGCCACTACTACAGCACTGGCAGTAGCTGGAACCCCAGGTCTTATAAATCACCACCAGAGTGCCACGCTGCATGCTCTGTGTAGCTCTGAGGGCCAGGGTTATGGGGAGCATGCCACACTCCAGGCAGCGTGGAGGGCTGGCTGTCCCAACCCTGCCCCTTAACCCCAAGGCCCTGCCCCTTATGGGAGTGCAGAGCTCCTCCCACTTTGGCCCATGGAGGCTGTCGGCTCCCCTGTCTGCACATTCTGGTGACTGATGACCAGGTAGGAGAACAGATGTAAGGTTTCCTCCTTCATTGTTCCTAACCTATCCCATCAGTATCTAGATTTCCCACAACTCTCTCAAGTGCAAGGACTGCTCCCTGCTAATGTTCACAGAAAGGGCCCCGGGAGAGGGATGTAGGAGGAGGGGCTGGCTTCATTTCTCCTCCTCTCTACATTGGGCAATGAAGCTTTCCATCTGTGGGCAGGCTGCACACTATTATGGACTGTAGCAGCAGTTACTCTCCTCTTGCCTTTTCACCAGCATACTCCAGAAGACACTGAGCCTCCTGAATTTGCTTTCTGGGGAGGTGAGATGCTTTTTTGACCGAGAGGTGGCTGGGATGCACTAGCCTGCAATCAAGCCAGATATAATGATTAATTTGGACAGAGCGGCTACTAGGACACCTGTGTTATTTCCTGGAGGCCTCTTCTTTCGAAAAAAACCCTTCCTCCCCATCCACACACGCCTTTTTCTGAAAGAGCTCTTTCAGAAAAAGGCTTCTGCCCCATAGGAAGAGGATTACCAATGCTGGAAAAACCCCTCTTTTCTTTCGATTTACTTTCGAAAGAACGTGATTGCAGTGTGCACATAACTCAGGTTTTCTTGGAAAAACGGCTGTTTTTCTGACAAACCTCTGCAGTACAGACATACCGGCTACGTCTAGACTACACCCCTTTTTCGTAAAAGGGATGTAAATTAGACGTATCGCAATTGCTAATGAAGGGGGGATTTAAATCTCCCCTGCTTTTTTTCCGCACAGAGCTTTGCCGGAAGAAAGCGCCAGTCTAGACGCTGATCTTGCGAAAAATAAAGCCTTTTCCAAAAGATCCCTTATTCCTGATCCCTTATTTAGGATAAGGGATAAGGGATCTTTTGGAAAAGGCTTTATTTTTCGCAAGATCAGCGTCTAGACTGGCACTTTTTTTCGACAAAGCTCCGTGCGGGAAAAAAAGCGGCAGCCATTTTTATGCTAATGAAGCAGAGGAGATTTAAATCCTCGCTTCATTAGCAATTGCGATACATCTAATTTACATCCCTTTTACAAAAAAGGGATGTAGTCTAGACGTAGCCCAAGATCTTTTTCAGGACCTGCTTTTCCTTACTTTCCCCACTCATTGTCTTTTTATATATTAACTGTTGAACAGTGAAAAAAAGAAAACCCAGTTATTTAAAAGCTGCAAACAACATATGAAATAGCAATAATACTGGTAACAGCTGCCTGAAACCCTGTAATGGGCTAGTTAAGTCACGATGATCAAAGAGATGTACAGAGCAAAAAAAAGTAGACTTACTCTTTTCCCAGGAGGACCAGGTGGGCCAGCTTCTCCTGAAGGGCCTGGTGGACCCTGTAACAGTAAACAATCCAAATCACTATTTCATGGAATCTTGAATTCATTAAAGAGTAAAGGTTATTGATTTTCTTAAAGACAACAAATGTATTTTGCAATACTACAGCACCTTTAAAGACAACGTTAAATGTAGGTTAAGATCAGAAGAACGTATAGAAATGATGCTTCCTTATTCAGCAAAGCTCCTTCCTAAATCTCAGGCTATGTCTACACTGCAGAGCTTTTCCAAGAGGTATCCCAGAAAGCTATGCTGTGTCCAAAGAATGCGTCCGCTTTTTTGGAACAATTTCTGAGAAAGCAGATGCGTTCTTTCGCCATCCCTGTAATCTTCATTGTATAAGAAAGAAGGGATGTGCTGAAAGAGGAGGTTTTTCTGAAATTTGGTCCTATGAAGACAGACAAATTTTGGAAAAGCCTTTAAAAAAACCAGAAAAGATATGCAAATTACACTTCGCAATTTGCTTACCTTTTTCCAGCTTTTCCTTGCAGTGTAGACCTAGTCTCAGTCTTGTTTACTGTCTTACCTACTCATGTTGCTGAACAAGACAAAATTGTATTTTTTTTCCTCTGTTAGCAACAGCAATGCATCCCAAGCCAAAACGTGATTGTATAAATAACAATACAATAGCATAATATGTCAAACAAACATTTCAATTGAGTCTGATAGTCAGATCTCTGTTTCAATTGGTTTCACCATTGTACAGGTTTCTGTAGTGGGAAAGTGGGTCAGGTTGTTACTGAACAAGACACCACTGATGTTAATTTCATATTCATTTTCATTATAATTCTACTCCTTTAGTTGCTTTTTATATAAAAGCAAATATTTCTTGGTACATGATATTTTGAATAAAAATGAATTGTTAAAAATGAATGGTTACATCACTGATATAATTCTTCTGAAATCACTAGAATTATAACCAGGGACAAATCTAGTCTAACAATAAGCCAAAGAAATTGAATATTATATTAACTTTTTTTTGTCTTGGCACTTAGTTTTTTTAAAAAATTCTATAAATCATATAATTTGATCAGAACAAATCTTTACAACAAAAAAAACAAACGAAACAAAGTAGCAAATTTCTAATTTCTAATTCAGGAAATAAGGTAACATAAAAAACCCACTGGGCTTCATTCTAATTTCTGAGCTTAAGATATGCAAATAAAACATATCAAGAAACCATAGCCATGGAATTAATAGAGATGCCATTGATAGAGGTTAGTGTCTTTCCTTGTAGGAGGGTGTAAGCGGTCATGGCAATTTTCAGTAAAAACTAAACAAAATGTTTTTAATTGGTAGGGTCTTGATCAAATTGAAGATGACAGAATGATTCTAGTGGAAGTTAGACTGTACTCTAAGGTTACATCTACACCAGGAGTTCCCAAACTTTTTGACACAGGGACCAGTAAACCCATTCACAAACTTTTGGAGGACCGGTAACATTCATTTGCATATTTGCATATTCATTAATCAAATGATGAATATTCAAAAAAAGTTGTTTCTGGTCCCCCCAAAGCCCCCAGTGCCAGCTTCAGCAAAGCTTTTGATATGGTCACCCACAATATTTTTGCCAGCAAGTTAAGGAATATGGATTGGATAAATGGAGTGTAAGACAGAAAGCTGGTTAGACCAGGGTTTCCCAAACTTTTTACTTTAGTTGGAACCCTTTTTTTTCCATACTATTTTTTGCAGCCCCAAAATATAAACACATCAAAAACAAACTGAGAAAATACCAGGCATATAACATGTCTGGTATTTTCTCATTAGGTAAGTTGTATTATTACTACATGTATCAGTTTGTAGTTTCAAACTGCCTGGCTGGTAAATGTGCTCAGACTCCATGAGTGTGTCTACCAGCCAGACAGTTCGCAACTACTTGAGGGAGTGTGGGGGCAGGCAGGGGGCACAATAGAATCCCCGGGCTGGACTCAGTCATGCTTTGCGGGCGGAGAATGGGGGAAGGGGAGCAGCGCCCCGAGATATGCATATGGCTGGGTAAGTCCTGTTCCCCGCTGGCCGAATCACTCCTCCCGCTGTGCCTCCAGCCAGACCCACTTCCCCCAATCTCCTCCCGGACAGCAAGTTCTCCCCTGCTTCTCCTCCCAATCTCCCTTGGCCAGTCCCGCTGCCCATGTCCAGCCCTGCTTCCAGCGGTCGCTTCTCCCCCGCCTCCAATCTTCCCCGGCCAGCTCCCTGCCCCCAACCTTGCTCCCCTGAGAAATCAAGTCAACTTTTTTGTTTAGATATATGACCTCATGTAGGGCTTGAGCCTATGTTGGCTGAAGTCATTGGCAAAGCTTCTGTTGATGTTAATGGTGCAGAATCAGTATCTTATCCATGGCTTACTCAAAATGTATATGTATATTGCAAGACAAACTGTGACACATTTGCTGCTCATAAAAATGGTATTTAACTCTTTCAACTTCAGACTAGTTGGTTCTATTAGGGTATGTCTACACTGCATCCCTAGTTCGAACTAGGGATGCAAATGGAGACAATCGAACTAGTTAATGAAGCGGGGATTTAAATTTCCCGCGCTCCATTAACATGATCTCGCCGGCGCGCTAGTTCGAATCACAGCTGATTCGAACCAGGAAGTGCGCGCCGGGATGCGTTAGTTCGGACTAAAGCCCTTAGTCCGAACTAATGTTACTCCTCATTTCGAACTAGGGATGCAGTGTAGACATACCCTTTGTTATAAAAAACAATGGCTATAAAAAAAATACATTAAGAATGGACACACTGAAATAGATCAATAGTCTGCCTATTCTGGCATCCTGTCTTCTCACAGTGGCCTATGTCAGGTACTTCAGAGGGAATGAATATAACAGGTGAACCATTGCCTGTTGTCCATGCTAGGGACTCCCACAGCATGACATTGCATCCACCACTGGCAATAGCCATTGTTGAACATAAATTCATGAAGGATGATTAGTTCTTTTTTGAATTCAGTTATAATCTTGGTCTTTACAATATGTTCTGGAAATCAGTCCTACGGATTGATTGTAAGTTGTGTGATGAAGTATTGCCTTTTAAACCTATGCCTATTAATTTATTGGGTGACCCGCAGTTCTTGTGTTAAGTGAAGGAGTATAACAAACTTCTTTTATCACACCATTCATTATTTTATGAATCTCTATCACATCCCCCTTTAGTCACCTCTCTCTGCAAGCTGAAAAGTCCCAGGTTTTTTAAAACTCTTTTTATACGATAGCTGTTTGCACATTTTTGTTGCCTTTCTCTGTACCTTCTCCAATTGTAACTATATCTTTTTTGAGATGGGGTGACCAGCAGTGCATTCAGTATTCAAGTTGTGGACATACCATGGATCTATATACTTGTATTATGGTATTTACTCTCTTATTATAAATCCCTTTTCTAATTGCTTCTAATATTCTCTTAGCTTTCTTGACCACTGCTGCACACTGAATGGATGATTTTGGGAGAATTATCCACAGCAAGTCTACAATGATTCTTGAATGGTGGCAGATAATTTAGAGTCCATCATTTTGTATGTACAATTGAGATTTTGTTTTCTAACGTGCGTTACTTTTCATTTATGAACATTCAATTTAATGTGCCATTTTGTTGCCCAATCACCCAGTTTTCTCTAATCCTTTTGTAACTCTTTTCAGTCTGCTTTGGACTTAAGCATCTTTAGTAAATTTGTATTGTCCACAAATTTTGCCACTCACTGCTTACCTCTTTTTCTAGATCATCAGTAAATATGTTGAATAGCTGCGATCCCAGTACAGATTCCTGGGTACCCTGCTATTTATCTCTCTCCATTCTGAAAACTGATCATTTGTTCCTACTCTTTGTTTTGATCAATTACTGATCCATAACAGGACTTCTCTTATTCCATGATAGCTTACTTCACTCAAGAATCATTGGTGAGAGACCTTGTCAAAGGCTTTCTGAAAGTCCAAGTACAGGCAGTCCCCGGGTTACACGGATCCGACTTATGTTGGATCCGCACTTACAAACGGGCTTTTCTCGCCCTGGAGGTTGCGGGCGGCAGGACCGCCCAGACGCGCCGCGGTCCGCCCGCCCGCATCCTCCGGGGTGAGAAAAGCTGCTCCACGTCTCCCCGGGCCGCGGGGG